TAAGGGCTAGACATTATAAACTAAGGTTCATTTATAGGCCATTTATAGGTAAGTTACTTTAGATGGCATCCTATTAAAAGACAGCAAATTAAGAATTTTCTTTGTGTCATTTAATGTCTTGTAATCAGTTGGAAGTATTTGACTAAAAGACTATTTATTCCATACTAAGGTAGACATTTAAGTGTGGGTCTGGGAAACTAGTGAGCTCAGAACAACCCTGCTATCACCAGACACCCAGAATTTAACTTGCCAGGGTCAGCCCAGAGCCCAGGAGTCTGGGTAGACAACAGAGGGCCAGGTGTTGGCCCCCCAGCCTCACTCGAAGCAGTGTCCTAACAGGAGAGGTCCAGGACTGTTGGGGCTAGATGTGTGTATTTGTGTGTGTGCATGTGTGTGTGTCCCTTCCAATGACATCAGAGGGAAAGGTCTTTCAACTGGGGGAGTGAGGTCAAGTTCCTGAGCAGCATTTCAATCAGGAAATTGAGGTGGAGAGAGAGGCAGTGACCTGCCTCAAATCTTTCACAGCTATGAGTTTGGGCCTCACAGCTTCCATCTGTGAACCTGAGTTTCTTCATCTATGAAATGGGATGCCAATGGGCCCCACTCGAAATTTTGTCACTCTGGCAGGTCATAGCTGGGTGATGGGATCTAGATCTATAACAATTCCTTGACATTAGAGGACAGGACCTCCAGCATCAAGACACCAGATCAGGCTGGGGTAGTGCTTGGGGTAGATCATTTGCCTAGCAGCATGGGTGAGGCTGTGAGTTCCATCAGAACTATCACAGAAAAAAGTGAAAAGGGGAACAAGTCTCATCCTTACATTGCTCCACCTGGGTCTCCAAAGCTCACACAGTTCATCCAGGGCCTGCACTGATACTGGGTCCTGCAGTCTGGTGGAGACCTTGACTAGATGAGGACCTGACCTTCCACCTGCAGCTTCAGTGCTGCTTTGGGGACGTGTTTAGCCTGCACGTGGCCTGGAAGCCAGTGGTTGTGCTCAATGGGCTGTCAGCTGTGCATGAGGCCCTGGTGAACCTCGGCGAGGACACCACAGACTGGCCACTGATGCCAATCTATGAGCACCTGGGCTTTCGTCCCCAACCCCAAGACAAAGAATGGTAGGGTAGAGAAAGTATCAGGGTGAGACATGGAAGGCAGTGACCAAAGAAAAGACAGAGCCCAATGCGAACAGTGATGTGCTCAAGGGACACAACGAAAAGCCAGTCGAATCTAGGGGTAGAGTCTGTGGCAGGTAGTCAGGGGCTAAGTGTGTGTTGTGTCAGGACTCGGCCCATACCCACTGGAAGAGAATGGCAGGGTGGCATGAAGGACACAGCCAGATACACCTAGTCATGGACATGCCCACACCATACCAGGGCTGATTCTGGCATCCTACGGACGGGCCTGGCGTGAGCAATGGCTTCTCCATGTCCACCCTGTGCAACTTTAGCCTGGGCAAGAAGTTGATGGAGCACTGGTTAACCAAGGAGGCCACCTGCCTCTGTACCATCTTCACCAGCCAAGCTAGTGGGTGGTGGGCTGAGGGGCACAAGCAAGGGACGAGGCAGCAGCGGAATAGGGACAGTGGGGACCCACTGACATACATTCTTGCTCCCCAGATACTCATTTAGCCCCAACACCCTCCTGAACCCAGTGATGTGCAATATGATAGCCTTTGCCATCTGCACATGTCACTTCAAGTACAGTGACTCACTCAGGCCTGAATTAGAACTGCTGGAGGACACCATGAAGGAGGACCGTGAGTTGATGCCCCAGGTGAGGGGTCCAAGGGAGTCTCCGAAGGGACAGCTCCCTGCTCTTAGCCTCTATTGAGCAGGACTTGCATACAGGACCGACAGGAAGAGGGGTTCTGGGAGAGGCCACTGCAGGACAGGCCTGGCTTAGGAAAATCCCAGAGACACTAAAAGGAGAAGTGACCTAAGGTCAGGGTTCCCGAGAGAGTAAGAGCCTGTGCTTCCTGTCCATATGGGGAGCCACAAAAGCCCATGAGATTTCCATGGTAGGATGTTGTTTCTGTTGGCCCAGGGCCAAGACAAAGTCTGGAGGCTGCCACTAGTTGAAGGAACAAGTCAATAGAGGAGACAGGAAGGCCAGGGGTCTGCCCTGGAGGAGGCTTGGACCTGAGGCTTGTCCAGGTGAGCAATTACTGCAGGAAGGACCCAGGTCTCTTCTGTGGCTGTCCAGGTGGGGAGCACATTCCCAGTTCTTCTGCACATCCCAGGGGTGGCTCCCAAGGTCCTTCCCACACAGGTCTTCTTGGGCCTCATGGATGAGCTAGTGACTAAGTACAGGACAATCTGGGACCCAGCACAGCCACCCAAGACCTGACTGATGCCTTCCTGGCTGAGGTGGAGGAAAGAGGTGGCTGTCAGCGAAGGATTAGGTGCTTGGGATGAGGGTCTTAAGAGAGATGAGACCTCATCATTTCCCAGTGACCCAGCATCTGGGCAAGGTGTAGAATGGTAGAGATAGGAGGAATTGCTCTCTCTTCCTTCTGAATCCTGAACTCTCTGCCTGGGCCAGGCCAAAGGGAACCCCGAGAGCAGCTTCAATAATGCGAACCTGTGCATGGTGGTGGCTGACCTGTTCATGGCAGGGATGGTGACCACTTGGCCTGGGCCCTGAGGCTCATGATCCTGCACCCAGATGTGCAGCATGAGCCCCGATGGGGCTAGATGGGATGTCTAGGGAGGAAAAATAGCAACAAGGTCCCCAAGCTTAGTAGGAACACCTGTGTCTCTTAAGCATGGGCTTAGCCCAGGCTTCTGTAAGTGTGACACGCTCCTCTCCTGGACACAGCCCTTAACACAGAGGAGGAGAGGGACAGGGCAAAGCCCCCTGGGACTGACCTGTCATGGGGATGCTTGTCTGTCCAGGTTGCGTCCACCAGGAGATTGATGAAGTGATCGGGCAGGGCGGTGCTCAGAGATGGGGAACCAGGCCCGCCTGCCATGATTTACAAAGTGCAGTGTTTTGGGGACATTGTCCCAATTAATTTGCCCCACATGGCGTCCCATGACATTGAAGTGCAGGGTTTCCTTATCCCCAAGGTATGCATGGGGCCCTCCTTCCCCAGCATGGCCGCTAACAGGTAAGGCCAGGCAGCACCCAGGCCGCTGATCTGGATTCCACAGTGCTGCCAGGTCCTGCCTGGTTGTGTACAATGTCAGGTCGAGACAGTGCCTCCCTGTCCCCACAGAGCTCCCAGAGTAGTAGGACCGGGAACTAAACCAAGTCACTGGGTTTTAGGGGAGCCACTGTACTAAAGCACAAGTGCCATTGTGAGCACCCATGGAAGCCTTCTCCCTCGGCCCTGCAATGGGATTAAAAAGTTGCTCAAAGCTTCTTAGGCTATGGCTTAACTGAAAGGGTCCAGATGTGTGCCAGGTAGAGTCCACCTGTGAGTGCTTCCTGGCAGGGGTCCTGGTGTTCCCCATCCCTCTTCACATTCGTGCTAGGTCCCACAGAAAAGGCCTTTGACAAAATCCAGCATTCATTTATGATTTTTAAAAAAACTGAAGAAAATGGGTTCAGAAAGACTATCTGATACCACCAACATCATACTAAATGAGGAAAAGATAAAATATTTTCCAAGATCAGGATCAAGACAAGGATGTCCAGTATCACCACTCCTGTTCAGTGTAGTACTGTACTTGAAACAGTAGCCAAAGCAATCAGCCAAGAGAAAGTGATTAAAAGGGATATGTATAGGATGGGAAGAAGTCAAATTATTGTTATTTGCACATGATCCTTTACATAGAGACACCTAGAATTAGTGTTGCAAAGGGCATCCTCACCTACTACCAGCCCTAGAGGTCTCTGGGAGGACTGAAGACCACAAGTTCCAGAGGCCTCTGGGAGGGTGGACTGTCTGCAGCAACTAGGAGCCTCTGTCTGCCCTGATGGACTACAAGTCCTAGAGGCCGCTGCACAACCCGGCGGACTACAAGTCCCAGGGGCCTCTGGGCTCACAGATGAACTAAAAGCCCCTGAGGGCTCTGGCGGCAGCCAAGTCGGTCCTGCACCTTTGGAGTGGGAACCTCGTCCTCAGGTCCTCCGCTCACTGCCCGGCTGCCGTCTCTTTTCGAGGTAAAGGGTGACCCGAGAGGCTTGACGAGCTGGAGACAGGGCTCCTCGGGGCCGGGAGCTGTCCAGTGCCTGGGCTCAGGTGGGAGTGGGGTCCCCCAGCCCAGTCAGGTGCCAAGGGGGCTCCCTGAGCACTGAGGCCCGCACCTCACATCCGGCAGGTGGTGAAGCGGTGGAGCCCCTGCCTTGAGTCTAGCTTCCTGCCGCCCAGGACCTGCGAGGAGGAGGGGTCCTCTCTTGGAGACAAGCCAACTCTGCTTGTCCTCTACCCTCCCCAGAAAGTGTTTTCAGTCACTGGCCATCCCCCAGATACACCCCTCCACCGCTGTTTTATCCAGAGAAATTAAAACATATGGAAACTTTACAGTGACTGAACAGGCATTGTACAGTGAACGCCTACAGACTACCAGCTGGAATGTACAATTGTCAGTCACTGTACTTTGTCACAGTCCTATCCACCTCTCATACAAGAGGTCTAGTATCACTGTGAGAACAGAGACATGGATTGTGTGGTTAATACTTCAGGGACAGTGTTTTGAGGGAGAGTGAATGGAATGGACCTGCAGGCCAGTTGGCAGTGACTGAAGTGAGTCCTCACCCCACCTTCTCTGTGTCATTTCTTTATATTTTAAGCTTGCCTGTTTGAACCTGCTTGGTTCCATGTGTGTTTCTTTGCTGTAGGGGAACGAGATTGCCTAGCACAGTTGACAGCCATGGTGCTGATTTAATTAGTTGTTTCTTTGATTCCCCAGGCTCACCTGTTTTCTTTTTCTTTCAGTCTTTTTTATTGTTGTTGTTTCGGGGATTGAACTCAGGACCTTGCACTTTCGAGGCAGCTGCAGCGACACTGAGCTAAATCCCCTGCCCCTACCTATTTTCTTCCATAGATACAAGACATCCTATTCAGTTCTCTGAAAGGGAGAGGAGACAGGCTCTGTGGAAATTCATCTCCACTGTCAGAACTGTTCAGAGCTCCAGGACATATTTTTACTCATAGAGGGATGAAGTTAGGAAAAGGTAACATTTTATGTTGCTGTCTGTGCCCTGACTGTGAAGGACAGGCTTGTGAGAAGGCCGCCTGTGCAGAAGCTCTGCAGAGATCCATAGCCTTAGTCAGAAGGGGAGAGGAGATCAAAGCCAACGGTGGTGGTGGGAGCTTCTTGTGCCCTCATGAGGGGACTTGGAAATAGATTTCCCAAAATGGAAATGTGCCCGTTTGTAGGACACCACACGGCTTCTGTCTCCTCTCTGGCCGGTCACTGTTTTCCCAGATGTGGACGGTGGAGGCTGCATCACAATATAATGCTGCATGGGAGAGGAACACCCAGCCAGGGCCCTTTGGCAGAGCCTTCTTACCCAGAGGGCAGCACAATAAAGGAAACGCAGGTTTGGGTGGCCCCTGAGCCTGTGGGCCTACTGGGTCTGGTCACCCTTTCTCATGCTCTGTAAGTCACCAGGCAGCACTCTGGTGATAATGTTTGCGTCCTGGGACCAGTACCACCTAGACTTGGCACTACAGACAGACTGGAGGTCCCTCTCTGTCACCTGGACACAAGCTGATGATTGATCTCCTGGAAATCTGTTTGCATCTGTTTTGTGGATTCCATTTGTTTCCTATGTTGGGATTCCATCATGTTCCTCAGCTCCTCTCTAGATTTATTAATCATGTCTTGCACTAGGAGCACAATTTCTCCTGTTATCAGAGAAATTATTTCTGATTTCATTTTTTCCAGATCCCCTTTTGTTGCCAGGTCAGGGAGTCCAGGTGGTTGCGTATCAGAGTGTTCCATCCCGTTTCCCTTTGGGGTTGCTGTAGGTGATCTGGAAGTCTGGTTTTGAGACTTATTTACGTGTTTTCTCATTTCAACTGGGTGGGGGGCTGTTGGCGCCTGCACGGATTACCTCTGAGCTGCGAGAGGTGGGACAGGGGCCGGGAGCAGCAGTAGGGATGGTGGCCCAAAGGCCCTTTCCTCTGGGCTGGGAGCAGCGGGAGGGATGGTGGCCGGGAAGCCCCTTCCTCTGGACCAGGAGCAGTGGGATGGTGGCTCAGAAGCCCCTACCTCTGAGCCGGGAGTGGCGGGACTCAGTACTGTGGTCTGTGGTCTGGTGTCCTCTGTATCTTTGTAGTGTGGAACCAGGTGGCTGTACAGAGGAGCGGGGTGGGGGTCCAGTGGATTGTTACTGGGGCGCGGGCTGATTGAGCGTGTTCCGCGCGACTTGCGACCTCGGTAGGGCATGGGCAGACCTGCCTGTCTGCAGCAGGCTGATTCGGCATGTTCCCCTCGACTCACGTGTGACCTGACCTCCATAGGACGTACGCAAGCTGACAATTGAGATATCTTTCCAGAGCCTCACTTGCCACATCTATGGCAAAGAGCAACACTCAGGAAATGTGTAGACCTGTATCTTCTGTAAGTGTCAGAAAAATGAGGCTTTAGACAGAATGAAGAGAATGGAAGCCATGCGGCATAGGGTAAAGAGATCCAACCACATTCTGATCCTTTCCATAGAAGCAGTTGTGCTGCATTTTGGTAATATTAGGTCTTTTTTTCATAAACAGTTCATGTCACTTTTGTGGGGCTCCTGATTTTTTAGGTGCTATGAGCCCTGCTTTGCCTGTCCATGGGGATCCAGCACCATGCATTGTTCCCACAAGGAAATGTCATGAGGAGTTAGCACAAACTGTGAAGATGCTTGATGAGGAATGTATTCATTACATGTTCATCCCGTCTGAATCCAGATCTAGCTCCTGTGTTTGGGTTTCTCTTTCAAGGAGAAACAGGCCAGGGCAGGTGGAAGTAGAGCAGAGAGCAAGGATTGTAGGGGGTGGGATTTGAGAATGACTTCAGGAATAAAGTGAACTGGGTTAACAATGAGAGCCTCACCACCTGGGGAGACAGAGGAATGAGCTTTCCCTGCACTGTGGACCCTCTGTGCTTTATGCCCAGATTGCACCCTTGACTTACCAAGTCAGTTCATTCATGAGGGCTGGTTGTAACTCAAGTTGATCAGTTGAAGGCTCAGGCTCCTCTACACAGCCTTCAAAGTCTCTCTCCTATATACAGGCAGATCTGTGTCCTTAGAGAGAGACACTGGCCCAGGATTTCTCAATTAACTCCACTCAGGAAAGGATGTTGTAATGTTCCTTTCAGAACTCTTTAAGCATTAAATCTGTGTCTGAGACCATCTGGAAGCACAAGTGGTTGGCATTTGAGTTGTAACTCAAAACTTTGTTCATAAGTTTTTTTTTATGGTATTGGGGGATCAAACACAGGTCCTTGGGCTTGTGAGGCAGGCAGCAGAACCACTGAGCTAAATCCCCGGCCCTAAAATTCTTAACATTTCCATTAAACAAGGATACTTTCTCTCTCTCTTTTTTTTTTTTTTTTTGGTACCAGGGATCGAACTCAGGTCCTTGCGCTTGCGCACCAGGCGGTGAAAGCGCTAAGCTAAATCCCCGGCCCTGTTCATAAGTTAAAACTAAAATTCCAGTCGTGACCCAAGTTGTTTGTATGTCAGGCCAGTCATAACTCAAGGGTCCACTGTACTTGGCCAATTTACACCTGTCATCCAGGGAGGCAGTAGCACGGGCACAATTGTCCCACCATTGAAAAAGCAGCCAGAACGTCTATGTGACTCACCGTGGCAAATCATGCACAGCAGGCTGCACACCCAGCTGTCCTGAAATAATAGGATTTGGAGAAAGGGAAGGAAACTTGGGCTCCCTCCCTAACTGAAACAGAGTTTTTTCTGTCTGAATCTTTGCCCATAAACAGAAGGTCTTTCATGAGAAAGGCAGTGGAATATTCTCAGTCATGGCCGTGTTCTGACCAAGGTGCTATGGGTAGTCGACTTTTGGGTTAGGAGGAGCACAGGAAGTTTCCCGAAGTTAATGCCAACCCTTCTGCACCGGCAGTGTGTACAGATAGTTCTGAGAAGTGCAAGTGGTGGCTCTCAGGTAGGGCTGGAGCAGGCAGTGTTAGGGTTGGGCCATGAGCCTGAGCCCAGATTTTTCCCTAAAATGTTGGCCTTTAATTAGATAAGATAGTGGGTCTGAGAGCTTTTTGAAGCTGGAATTAATAGGACTTGCTGGCTGGTCAAGGTTTAGGGGGAAAAGTCTGTGACACCTCTGGGTATCCAGTTTGGTGAATGAGGAGTGCTGAACTGAAAAACAGTTGGCAGGACGTTGCTTGACCTCCAGTGCAGCCCATATTTCATGTGCTGCTTGGTTCTGTGGAGAAATTGGTTCTAAACCTGGTCCCTACAGTCCCTGACCTGCGGGTCTGGCAGAGAGACTGAGCCTGTGAGCACAACCCTCTAATTCCCTGTGACCGTTGCCCGAGCTTGGAAAAACCCGTCCATCCTGGTGTAGGGCTGTGAAGCTTCCTGCTTACCTCCCCTTGACTCTACCAGCGCCTCTACTGTCACAGAACCTCCTGTGGCTCTGCTGGGGTTTGCTGTATTTCTTTTGTAAATAGTTCTTAAGGGTGACTTGGCTTTCCAGGTGGATCTGCAGTTCCCTAAGGGCAAGGACCAAGAGAAAAATGACCCTCCCGGCAAGGAGGTGCACGAGCGCAATCCTAGAACCCTGGGAGGCAGAGGCAGGATCACAAGTTTCAGCCAAGCCTGAGCAATTTGGTGAGACCTTGTCTTCAAATAAGAAAATGGGGCCAGGGATTTAGCTCAGTGGCACCACACCTGCCTCGCAAGCACAAGGTCCTGAGTTCGATCTCCGGTACAAAAAAGAAAAAAGAAAAGAAAATGGGCTATAGGTATGCAAAGACCCTGGGCTCAAATTTAACACACACACACACACACACACACACACACACACACACCCCAGAGGAAAGTGCCTTCCATACAGGATTCAGTAAATGTGACCTGAAGTAAGGAGTCAAGAGCAGCATAAGTCTTTTCAAACAGATAGTCATGTAAAACAAGAAACAAACAGGTTGTGATGGCTGTGCTGAATAAAACTGTCTCTTCCAGACTAGGGATGTAGTTCAGTGGTAGAGCACTTATCTAGCATATGCAAGGCCCTGAGTTTAATCCCCAGCACAGAAAAAACAAAACAAAACAAAAACAAAAACCTATCGGGAGCCAGACATGGTGGCCCATGCCTGTAATTCCAGCTACTGGGGAGGCTGAGGCAGGAGGATCATGAGTCCACAGCCTGGATAATATAGCAAGACCCTATTTCAAAATAAATTAAAATAAAAATAATAAATTTACAAATTTTAAAAACAAATCTGTGTCATCGTCTGCACCAGGTATATCTAACACATGGCCTGAGGTGACCCATGCAAACCTGAATAGCTAGAAACACAGCTTCACAAGGTCATAAACTTTTAACATTATTATGTGATTTTTCAGCCATATTTTTAATTACTCAGTTGCACAAGCACAGACTACAGAGCCCATGTTGGAACACTGTGTAGAGGAGAACACAGTGCAGTGCTAACTCTGCTTCCTGTGTCTGCCACACAGTGGAATCAAAACCCATGTGTATCAGATGATACATGGCCTTGTGGGACTTGGTGAGCAAAGCACAATGATTACTGGGGGTTTTTTGGGGGGTTTTTTTTGGTACTGGGATCGAACTCAGGTCCTTGCGCTTGCGTAGCAGGCGGCGAAACCACTGAGCTAAATCCCCGGCCCAGTGATTACTGTGAATAATGCTTCAACCCACCTACATGTGTGTGTCCCTGTGCAGATGGGTATCTATTGTTATTAAGCATGTATATGCTGGGCACAGTGGTGCACGTCTGTAATCCCAGCACTCTGAGAGGTTGAGGCAGGAGGACACAAAGTTCAGGCCCAGCCAGGCAACTTAGCAACTTGGTGAGACCCTGTCTCAAAATAAATAATGGAAGAAATGGGCTGGTGATATAGCTCAGTGCAAAGGCCCTAGGTTCAATCCCCAGCACCTTTTAAATAAATAGATAAGTAAATAAGCAGACATGTAAGTGTCCTTATTATTAAACTTGAGCCTATGGTATTATTTTGTAAAATAATCT